TTCTATAAATTCTAGAGATAAGTCCCTTGTCAGATGTTATTACCAAATATTTTTTCACAGGGCTATTTTATTGTATTATAATTGTTTGTCTGTCAGTCTACTAAGTTGAAAATTTCCTTGAAAAACAACAGACTGGATTTTTCAAATTTTTACCTCTTACACACAGGCTGTACCTGGGTGGTACAAATGGTTACTGCTCAAAAGGTCGGCAGTTAGAACTCACCCAGGGGTGCCTTGGAAGACAGGCCTGGAGATTATATTTCTGAGAAGTCATAGCCTTAAAAACTCTATGTAGCAAAGTTCTACTCTGACACATGAAAGGTACCATGAGTCAAAATGGCAAGGGATTAGGTTTTTTTATTAGCTATACTCAGGTTACAGCATAGGCATGGAGCAGGTATTCAATACCCAAAATAAACCAAACCCATTGCCATTGAATTGATTCTGACTCACAGCAACCCTATAGCAGAACTGCCTCATAGGGTTTCCAAGACTTTAATCTTTATGAAAGCAGACTACCACATCTTTCTTCTGCAGAGCAGCTGGTAGGTTTGAACCACTGACTTTTTGTTAGCAGCTGAGTACTTTAACCACTGTGTCAAAAGGGCTCCATTTAAAAAAAAGAAGAAAAGAAAATAGTATTAATAAATACTAATAATTCCTATTTGCTATAGAAAAAATGGGATATTAACATCAAGGTTGTTTTCTCACCTGAAGTCAAATTCCTAGCGGTACTTTGTGATTTCTGCATTTCAGACGATTTAAAGTTGAGGTCGTCTTGCATCATCTTCAGCTCCTGATTGGTGATGGAGGATATCTGCTTCATTCGATTTATATTCTGTATTTGCAAAAAAATAAGAATGGAAACAATTACACTGATTTAACATTCCAATAAAACCCTTGGAAAACACTTTTTAAAATGGAATGAGTCTTCTTTTTTGAAATATATCATTCATTGGTTTTTCTCAGTAAATAGAGGTCAAAATTCAGAATTATTTCTTTTTCATTTATTATTTATTTGACCACAGAAAAAAATCAACTACATTACTTGAGGTATAGATCTGGATTCTTGAAATATTCAGAATAATGAAAAGAGACTGTATTTTTCCTCTTATGGTAGATGTTTAATTAACATTTCTTGATGAATCAAGATACTCATTAAATGAACAAAAAATCCCTTCTAGTTACAATGGAAATTATGGTGTAGAAATACATTAACATTCCCAAAACAATACCTAGATTTTGGAATTATCTGTGCAAACGTTATTTCTACAAGTTCAGAATGATTAACTATGGAAGAAAACTTAACATTTACTCTGAATTAGTGTCTCACTTTGTGCTGAGTATTGATGTTATACATATAATCATCCTTTCCCTTTACTGCTCTACTTTGCTGACATTTTGCTAAGAAGACAGAAATTAATAACTTGAACAAAATAATAAGCAAGAGAAATTTATAGGAAATGGCTAAAATGAGCAGATAAAATAGTGAGTTGTTCTACTTTTTTAATTGTATTTGGAAAAGCAATCACAGTAAAAACAATGGGACACCAAGGTGGCATATGGTACTTACTCGACTACAGTGCTCCAAAAGTGCAACAATGCTGGCTTCTATCTGTGCCTTCCGTTCCAATTCCTGATTCTTAGTTTCCTCAAAAGTCTCAATAAACGCTGCCAATTAATAAACATGATAAGAAAGGCTACTGTTGATAGAGTTAACACTATATAAACTCTAATTTGTAGGTCTTAAGAGTACTATTTAAAAATTCAAAGCAAATATGAATTTTACACTTCCACTGTTTTTTTTATTAGCTCAAGCATAAAAAACTCAGTAAGAATATTTCTACATACTTTCAAACTTTTATACTCTGTTAGGACCTTAACAATACAAGTAAACTTTGAATGTCTACACTTCTGCATTTAGCATTAACAATTGCATTTCCCCAAAATGAGATCTATGATTTAGTGTAAATGAACAGCAATCTGAGAATATATTATCTTGACATCTGTGAGATTATAACTTACTGTCCATATTTTCCTCTCTTTTTTTCAGCTCCTTGTACTTCTGATTCATTTCACCTACAAGAAATACAAAATATAACATTAATTTCAAAAATTCCTGATACAGTGTTCATCCTTCTGGTCCTTCTACTTCAAATAAGCAAGCTCCAGTGCTTTTTTAATCTCTTTTAAATGTGGTGCCAAGAAATCTGAGATTCCAAGAATGTCACTTCCCACAGTCTATACAACTACCCTCTGTTGATGCAACCTAGGATTACAGCTGTTGTGACAACTATACAGTAGTAATTAACTCACAGCTATTATAAAGATGCTCTGGTGGCATAGTACCTAAGGCATTTAACTGCTAACCAGAAGGCTGCCACGCCACAGAAGGAAGACTGGGCAATCTATTGCCATAAAGATTTACTTGGAAACCCAAAGGGGCTTGCTATGAGTGGGAATCGACTAGATGGCAGTGAGTTTGGTTTTTGGTTTGAGCTGTTATAAGCCCCCTTCTCACATTTTCACATGTGGTAATAAGCCAGACACTTTTAGCGTAGTGCCTAAGGCACTTGACTGCTAACCACAAGGCTGGCGTTTCAAACCCACAAGCCACTTCTCGGAAGGAAGGTTGAGCAATCTACTTCCATAGTGATACTGCCTAGGCAACCCAAGGAGGGGTTGCTATGAGTCGGGTCCGGCTTGATGGCACATAACAACAACAACAAATCTCTGGTGGCATAGTGCCTAAGGCACTTGACTGCTAACCAGAAGGCTGGCAGTTCAAACCCCCCAACCACTCCTCGGAAGGAAGACTGGGCAATCTACTGCCATAGAAATACTGCCTCAGAAATCCCAGGAGGGGTTGCTATAAGTCGGAATCAACTCAACGGCTGTGAGTTTGGTTTTTTTTGTTTTTTGTATCTATTTCAATTTAATTAATTTTGGAGTCCTATTAAATGCCACATAGTTGCCATCAGTCTCTCTCTTCTACCTACTTTTCATACATCATTGCTATAAGCATTAACCTAGTATATCAAATACTACAAACTGGTATGTTAGAATGAATACACACAAACTTAACACTTTAAGGCAACTTTTGATTATAAACCTCATCCAACTTGGTAATCTTACATTCTCTGCAAAATATTTTCAATTTTGGCAGTATTTTTTCTTTATAGCTATACAGATAGTATCATATAGTTCTATTTCTAGACACTGAAGGTATTGTTTTAAAATAATAAAAATATTCTAAGTATATAAAATTTAAATTATTGCTGAAAACCTCACCATTTCTAAAGAAAAAGAAAGAACTATGCAGATATTTGTTTCAAAAGAGTAATATCAGTAAATCAGAAGGTATCATCAGTAGTCTCTGGCATGCACTAAACACAACACAAGGTCCTTTATTATTTTCTGTGGTAGTTTTCAAATTTTAACATACATCAGAATCACCATGAGGGCTGCAACACACAATGCAGAGCCTCATTCCCAGGTTTCATTTTAATATGCCTGTGTGGGGCTCAAGAATCTGTACTTCTAACAAGGTCCCAGATGACTCTGATGCCCTGGGACAGAAATAATACCACTGCTATAATGAAACATACAAAGTATAGTTTAACCAATTTCCAAACTGAACAACAAGCAACAATTCATTCTTCTTCATTTGATGTGTACTGAGGTATCTTAGAGCAATGGATAGATGTCATTTGGAATCTCAAATAACAGAAGACACACCATGTGAAAACTGAATATTTTGTATTTATTTATTTTGTATATTCTGGAGAAGACAATGATGGAGAAAACACTTACAAAAATATGTTTCAGAAAAATTTCTAGGCAAGTTACTCAAGCATCACTTTATAAATCAACAGCATTAGTAATAATAGATTCCAACTCATAGAGAACCCCATTGGGTTTCCAAGGCTATAAATCTTTATGGAAGTAAACTGCTTCAACTTCCTCTAGCAGAGAAGCTGGTGGGTTTAAACTGCTGACCTTCTGGTTAGCAGCCAAATGTCTTACCCACTACAACATCAGAGCTCCTTAGCTAACATTTACTGAGTACTTTTTTTAGAGTACTGTTGTTTTATATGTGTATGTGTGTGTGTGTGATTTTTGTCTGTGTGTGTGTTTATTAAATCCTCACAATAACCCTAAGAGGTAAATACTATTGTTACAGCTATTTGAAAGATGGAAACTGGAGTACAGAAAGTTAAGTAACATGTCCAAGAACCAACAGCCAGTAAAATGGCATAGCTAGGATTTGAAACCAGGTATTCTGGCTCCAGAACATATTTGTTTATTTATTTATATTTATATATTTATATTTGTATTCAGGTTTGAGGTTCTTTTTTTTCCCCCCCAATTTATTTTGTTGTTACTAAGAATATATACAGCAAAACATGCACCAACTGAACTGCTTCTACATGTAGAATTCAGTGACAATGATTACATTCTTTGGGTTGTATAACCATTCTTACCCTCCTTTTTTGAGCTGTTCTTCCCCCATTAACATAAGCTCACTTCTCCCTAAGGTTCCTACTAATCTTTCAAGTTGCTGTTGTCGCTTTGATCCCATAAAACCCACAGCCATCCAGTCGATTCCAACTCATAGCAACCCCCCATAGGGTTTCCAAGTCTTTACAGAAGCAGAATGCCTCATTTTTCTCTCACAGAGAGCTGGTGGGTTTGCACCGCTGACCTTGTGGTTAGCAGCCCAATGCCTTAACCACAGCACCACCAGAGCTCCTATACAGATAGGATATAAATATAGATCGATCCCATATTGATAGTTCTTAAAAGATTTTAACACACAGGCATTAAGCTAGTTAAGCTAAACCTGTCATACATTTTTAAATTCTATTTTATCTGTTAAAATAAAGACATAAAAACTAACAATATAGGCCTAAGAACTCTGAGTAGGATAAAGTATCCTACTGGAAAAATGTTATGTTTTATATTTCATTATGCTTGAAAGAAGTAAATAAATTAGACTACATTGCTATGAATTCACTCAGAGCTTAGAACAATAAAAATAATACCATGTTCCCATAGCACTTTGTATATAATTCTATTATGTTGTTGTTGTTGTTTTTATGTGCCGTCGAGTCGGACCCAACTCATAGCGACCCCTCCTTGGGTTTCCAAGGCAGTAACACTACAGAAGTAGATTGCCCCATCTTCCTTCCAAGGAGTGGCTGGAGGGTTTGAACCGCCAGCCTTTCGGTTAGCAGTCAAGTGCCTTAGGCACTATGCTACCAGAGTATTATAGTACATATTTATCACAGTTTAGCAGTTATTTACATGTCTATAGTCTGTTGTATTAATAATTCCGATACTCTATTTTATAATCTAATCAATCTTTGGGGTAATACTGGACTCTATGAAAAAAAGGCAAAAAACAGAGATAACGCCCAAAAATCCCACTTGAGGAGACATATGATTGACTATTCTTAGCTTTGTTCATTATATTCCTCAACTCTACTCTGCATATGTAGACTCCCAGAAGATCAGCCCCACCTTGTGGACAATGGTAGTACTACTAATTCAGGCCTTTCAGAACATACATACAATTTTAGAATTGGCAGAGATCTGTGGGTATCAGCTGGACTAACAGAAACTAAAAGATTTTACAATAGCTGGCACTGATGAGGAAGGATTTTCACAAATTGTTACTGGTTATATAAAAATGGCACAATCTTTTCTGCAAAGAAACTTGGCAAAATCAATAAAAACTTAAAACATAACTTTCTATTTAAAATTTCACATCAAGAAATTTGTTTTATTAAAACACACAAGTTGGAAAATATGTGTGTACACAATTATATACTGTGGCACTGTTCTTGGTAATGAATAATTAGAAACAATTTAAATGTCAATGAGGATGCCACAGATACTATATAATAAAACAATGACAACTCACAGTTAGCATGGCTGCTTAATTTGATTATGTGCCAGGCATCACTCTAAGTCTGAGTTCAGAGCCCTTGACATAGACCACTATATCATTACCACTTCTCAGAAGGAAGTATATGCCCTTATAGAGAAGAATGTACATGACATCTAGTTAAAAGAAACAACTCAAGTGAAGAATAATATTACTCATTTTTGAAAATATATGTTTGGACATATGTAGAAAAAGGTCTAAAAGGAGAACCATCATACCAAAAGCAATGATGACCTTTGAAAACCAGGGTGAGTGTGAAGAGTAAGGAGGTAGGTAACTTTTTACTTTTTACACTTTTGTATTGCTTGAGTTTTTCACATTAAGTACATATCAGATTAATATATAAAAAGCACACAAATTTTTATAAGACAAATTAATCTGCATTTTAAAAATAACTAACTAGTTTAAGAAAAACAATTAAAAATCTGGAAGAGGTGATCTCTATGTTGAGGATAAATATACAGTTAATGAAAACACATGAGAATGATCATTTGAGGCAAAAACAAATTCAAAAGAACAACAAGCAAAATAACCCAGTAAAATCAAGTATATGCAACGTGATTAAAACTTTTAGAAATTCAGGGTAAGTAAATAAAGTTTATAATTGTTAATTTCTTGGTAAAGATGGCAGATGGAGATGCACATGTAATTTTGATCTTTCCTCCAAACCCCACTAAGATTATAGTAAAAGAATTTTCAAAGGCATCAACTCCAAAAACTGAGAAAGAACAGGAGACAAAAGCAATATAATCTGGACAGTGATCAGTAATTTAGTAGGCCTGAGAAAGCCTAAACCTAAGCCAGCAGTGGCTAAAGCTGAGAACCAACCCAATTTCAAAAGGCTCAGGAATCCATTACTATTTTGCAAAGGAGACTGATTTTGTACTCCTGTATCATTCATTAACCCAAAAATAAAAAACCAAACTCACTCCCATCGAGTCAATTCTGACTCACAGTGATCCATTTTAGGTTTCTGATGCAGTAAGTCTTTACAGAAGTAGATTGCCCAGTCTTCCTTCCAAGGAGTGGCTTGTGGGTTTGAACCATCAACCTTCTAGTTAGCAGTCAAATGTCTTATGCACTATGCCACCAGAGCTCAAAATCATGAAAGCTTTTGGCACTGTCATAG